GCTCATTTTTCTGAAATTAAAGAAATTTCATGAAAGCCTTCAGGTAGAGTAACTGTAGGTCCATCATCCACCATTCTTAGAGTGTCTCCACCAACTTTCATTACAAAGTTACAGCCTTGCCTAAATCCCACAGAGGATAGATTTTAATATGATCAGAATCTGTGTGATTGATCACTCTGATGCAATACTCCACTGATACAGTAATTCATGCTTAAGGAGATTTGATAAAGTTAGATCAGTGTAGAATAACATGACTTTCCTCAGGAAGTACCCATATATGTATACAAAATATTTTTTATCGGAAAATTAAAATATTCATGTTTTCTGAAAAAATTAAATGTTGGTATTTCATTCACTAGTAGGAAAAATAATTTATATATATCCCTATGTATATTTTATATTTTTCCAGCTTTTGGTTTGAATTGCAACACATTTCATTAGTATTGACGAACACTTTGATAAGAAACTAATTTGCAACTGCTGTCATTAACAACGATGCACATACATTTATGACTAAAAAGTTTGACAGCCACAGGGTTTGCATTTTTCTCATTTACAGCATCCTTCAGCACATATAACAATGGTCCAGGGAACTGGACATTTTAGGATACTTTTTTTCTTCATTGTCTTCCATAAAATCCTCTTAGGAGACAAATGAAAACATGCAGTACTCTTTACACCGACTGTTTAATTCCTCCACAGTAACAGCAATGTCTTTGGGCTGCAGGTTGGCGAGCTTAAAATGCGGGTTTTGTTTTGGTCCTTAAGGGACTCATGAATCCACCACTCAGGCTTCCTTGTCTCCCTCCCTTCAAATTACTTGGGTTCCTTTTTTTCCTCACTTCTTTTTTCTCTGTGGCAGCAGGATACTTTTCTTTGCCTGTGCAAAGGTGCCCAAGAGCAAGATGGATGCTCTATGCCATCCCCCCTTCCCTTGCACATCACCCCTGCACCCCCCCACCCCCCAAGCCCTGATAGCGGCACATGCATATATTAAGCGTGATTAAACGCTGTGCAGTGCCTCCATCAAGTGCTTTCTAATGGGCTTTTTTATGACATGAATTAGTCATAATAGAAGAGTGCCACAGTTAAAAACCCACCAACCACTGATGTTGTTGTTGTTGTTGATCAATTGTATTATTCATTATTCACATGAGAACTTTTTTAAGTCATTGTAGGTGAGATTATTGAACATTTTCTTGAATTTAAAAACTTTCTAGTTCTGTGAGCATGCACACCGGATGCCTTATAAGAACATGACAATCAAGAGGTAATTTTATTACATTTTTTTGTCTTTGATTCATGCAAAGGTTTTTAGGGAAGACGTAGGTAGCATCGAAGGAGGATAAACCCCCTCATCACCACCTGCACCTTCCTGCCGTTACAAGAAAACAGGGACAGATAAGCGTGGATTTGGTTCGCTTGTTTCTTTGCCATGGAGCTCCCCTGTGCACCTCGGCCTCCATAGAGGGATTACATATGTATCATCCGCCCTGCTGTATGACTAATTACATCTGTGAGATGAGATTATGTGGAGGTTTACCAAACCGATCCCTCCTCTCCGGCAATGTGTGTCGTTTCCAACATGTGGTATTACATGATGTGTCTGTGTTTTAAAAGAAAGAATGCGAGTAAGGACAGAGTTAACTGACGTTTAAATCTGGATTGAGCCAAACTGGGTGCTTTCATGTTTTTCCTTTACCTTCGATCTGAATCATTTTCTTTCTTCATCATATTACATTTGTTCTCATCTTGCAAAGCGGTGCTATGTCTCTCTTACATGGTCATCCAGGAGATAATCTTTAATCAGCAGGAGAAATACAACCAAACATGTGTTTACCTTCTGGAAGGCTAGCCTTCTGCAGATAAGACCCCTCTGATGTCACTCACAACAGTGTGTGATGAGCTCCCTGAGCGAGGGGGGGGTCGAGCAAGCAGCATTGATTTCTGCTGCCACCATGGCAACAAATAACAAGATCCTCTCCAAAAGCACACCTTAATTAGTTAAATTATGGCTTCAGGGAGATGGGGGGGGGGATTAGTGGAAGAGGCAAGTAGAGAGATTTTTGTTTTTCTTTCCTGATGCTACGTGCTCGTTCTAAATCTTTCAGAAGAGCTGTTTGTTTGATCAGAGATATGCTATGTCTTTAGAGCGCGGCTTTCAGATGTACGCGGCGCTGAGTGTTTTCCTAAAGCAGCAAAGGAGGGCGGCAATGACAGACTGCCAAATAGCATCTCTGTCATTATGTGACTTCTGTTCCTCTGCTACCAGCATCTCTCCACAGCCTGTCATTACATTGTGACTAACTTGATTTATGTCTACTAAATCTAATAAGGATTTTATTTTTTCCCTGGCGTGTGTTGTAGGCAGGGAAGCTACCAAGGCCCTGGCATCAATCAGGTGAGCGCTGGCTCCTACAGTCAGCCAACAAGTAACAACAGTTCGACCACAGGAAACGGCCAAGGTCCCGGTTACGGTACCCCGCCTTCAGGTATATACACCATCTACACAGATTAAGTCATTTTCAACATCATCTGGTTATATGGTTTTGGGCTAAGATGTTTCTTTTGTTTATTTTAATATTTATATAATTGCCCAATTTATCTAATTTATAATATATTTTATATAATTTATTCTTATCAGATTATCCAATTGATTTCGACTAAGTGTTTTGTAAAGTAGAAGGAAAAGTCTCCCTGAGTTATTGCTTTGTACCGCCTCCTTTATCCTGTAATTGAACTACAATTTCTTTAAGTTATGCAATATCCTATTTCCTCACTTTCCAATTTGTATTCTACCCGCACTCAGTCTGGATGAAAATCATCTCTGGAACTTAATTTTTATGTGCCACAATATTTCAGTTGAAGATTTGAGCTAAAAATGTGCTTTAATATTAAACAGAGGCCCAAAATCGGCCCCCGAGGGCCCCTGTCCTGCGGGTTTTAGAGGTATCCAAGTTTCAGCACAGCTGATTCGTATGACGCAGTTCAGCTAAAGCTCCTTAAAATCAAGGAAACCTTTAAAACCTGCAGCATAGTGGCCCTTCTTTGGGCAGGCCTGATCTAAACCACTGCAGTGTAGCTCTGCCTGGATATTTCTTTAGAAAGGTTCTGACACAGCCTCAGTTCTTTAGTTTAATCTTACAAATTTACTTCAAGATCACCCAATAATTAGTCCCATCCCTTTTCCTGTCTCCTCTGACCATCTTCCTGCATGATGCTGCCACCACCATATTTCACCATATTCCTGTCTGTCTATGTTTATTTGGTTTTCTGTTTGTTCACTTATGTTCTGTAACAAACCTCTGAGACTCCAACAAAGAGTCACACACTGAGATATATTCAGTACACATATTTGGATTTTATTCACTTGTGAGTGGGGGGGGGGTATCCATAAGTGAGCTGGTGTAGATGGAAAAATGCCAGGGCTGCTTTGTATGCCATAGTCATGTAAGATGATAGGCAACACAGTGTACGATTTTCTATTTTTTTCTGTTTTGGAAAACACAAAACTAATGAAAAAAAAAATAAAATATATATATATAATTATATATATATATATATATATATATATATATATATATATTGTTGGATTTGTTATATCTCAAAACTATATTGAATTTTGTCATTCTAGAATAGGAAAAAGTCTAAACTGTCAGAGGAGCATGAAAACTTTTGCAAGTAACTTAAATGTGGATGAAATCAACAGCCTGAATTGTTAATGTTAATAAATTAAACTGATGGGAAAATCAGAAAAAAAACAGATAAACAGTGTTACGTTTATGGTTTAATGTTTTCTGTACAACAACATTTTTTTTTCATCGCTCCATTACTTGTTCCTTGTTTCCTAAATGTTAAATCTAATTTTAAATTCAATAATTTTTTTGTTTTTTGTTTTTTCTTGTGCCTTTTGGGATTTTTCTGTGAAAGATGGTGAAAAAAAAACATTTCTCATAAAAATTTGTTTTGTTCTGTTATTAAAAATCACAATGAGCCACAAAGAAAATGTTTTGTTATTAATAAATTTTGGTTATTAATTGATAAGATCCGCCCTCTGCACTTAAAAAAAATGCACACACTCAGCCCTGTACTCTCTCCTGAGAGGAAACGCCTATTAAACATGTGCCACAGTTTACACAAGCATATTTCTCCTCCTTTTACTGGTAGTGATGTGAAATTGATTTTTTCAAATAGCATGCCAAACTTTACCTGTCAAGTAGAAACTTTGCAACCGAGGCATCAGTCGAAAGCCCATGCTGTGATTTCAGCGTACACCATCATGTGAAATAATCTCTCAAAAGCACTCTGGGCTTGTTTCCTCTATTCCGAGGCCTTTTTCTTGTTCTTACGCACTTTGTAGACACTTTTTCTCACACGACCCTCAGCCTTTTCCAAAAAACCGCTGTGAGAAAGGTGAGATTTAATGACTGGCTGAAACCGTATGTCACCACATAAAATTGTGCATGCAAAGAAAAAGACAGCTAACTGAGGCCGAGCACGTGGGTAAAATTTGGCATGCTATGTGGTTTAGAGTTTGTTTGAATGAGAACCGTCATATTTGGTGATATATCCCAAAATGAAACTGAATCAGGGCTGCTTGAATATTGTTTTTTCCGATGTGGATGCTCACCTTAACCAAGCTGCAGGGCGATGTGGCTCCCGGGTAACCTGTCCGACTTTGCTTGGTAGTTGACGGGTGAAAAACTGCACCAGAACCTAAATTAGCCCAGAAATTAAGACTCGACTTTACAAAGAAAAACTGCAAACTTTTCTGCAGACATAAACTGTTAACGCCTATTAAACACGTGAAAGATCAAGGAGGTGCGGGGACGCAATGATAAGACTGTTGCTTGTGTGGATCTCATCTCACACATATTTACATATAAAACGTTTCCCTGCAAATAAGACTACTGGTAAAGTAAAAACAATCATGACATGCCTACATGTGTGTGTGCTGCAGTGAAAATTTTGGCATGTTTGCAGGGTAAATAAGGATCTGTGGCCACCATATACCTAAATACTATTACTAATAAATAAAAAACGTATCTTCCCTGGAGATAGATAACTTTTACCAGCAGTGATGTGAAATGAATATATCCAAATAGCAAACTAACTTTGCAAACTGTGCAACCGTCGTGCATCAATGCAAAGACCGAACTGTGATTTCAGTGCACGCCATCGCGTGAAAGAATCTTCCAAAAACACTCTGGTCTTTTTTCTCTATTATGAGCCTTTTCTCTTCTTCTCATACACTTTGTAGACACTTTTATTCTTACAACCCTCAGCCATATTCAAAGAACTGCAGTGAGAAAGGCGAGCTTCAATAATTGGCTAAAACTGTAGCTCACCACACATATACACCTGAAAGTGAGCGTGCACAGAAACATATCACCAGAATGACTGACAGTTAGGAGAGCCACTTTGATCATCCATCCGGCCAAAGAACATCCACCCCCATACATTTAACGTAAAAAAGTTAAAGTGGGACACATTTAAAAAAGAATCTATGCTGTGAATTGAGTTTAAAGATTTAGTTTTAATTGTTTTTGTTCATGTTTTGTTTCCTTTTGTTTAAAGGAGGAATGGGCCTCTCAGGAGAAAGCATAATGAGCCCAGAAAATAAACTGAGATTGGATGTCAAAGATGACAGCGGCCAAAACAACGAGCCACACAAACCAAAGGTAACCATCCTCTCCCCCAGATCCGTCTTTTCAGTTCATTTACTTCTTTGATTTTATTTCTTTTTTTATCATTTGGTTTAGCTTCTTTGATGTAAATGAAGCAAACCAAATCTGATCAGCATATGCTGCCTCAGCTCAGTGGGCTCTTTCTCTGTTGTTTTCTCCTCATATTTAATGATTTGTTTAACATTTACCAATCTTAATGTTTCCCTCGCTTTGTTTTTGCCTGCAGCACTCTTTAGTTGCTGATGTTTTGGCAGCTAGAGTTGCAATAAAGAGGGAGGCAAAGAGACAAGGAGGCGGATTTGGCATGTGCAGTATACATGCGTGCACGCTAAAAGAAGACACACTTTCTGAGTTTTAGTTACCAAACATGCAAAGTTCCCCCTCTGCCTCATTTAACTCATGCACACGTGTCTTTACATACAATGACAACTTCTTATTTTGACCCACTATAGCAGCTTAGCTCAGCTCAGCAACAACAAAACTTTGCTCTTTGCTCTTTTCTGGCCCTCCACCACTCTTGTTTTTGCCTAACAACTCATCTTCAGCACACATACACACTCACGCCTCCATCACAACCACTACACGCATTTTCCCTCCAAATCCCTGTCTTTTCTTTTGCTGATTACGGTAGTAGGGCCTTTTGAATTATTTAAGGCAGACGGAGCAGCCAGAAAGACCTCCAGTGCTCCCAAAAGAGATGATCTGTCTGCCAAGAGAGAGAAAACGAGTTCGATTCAAAAAGAGAGAGGGGCAAAAAGATAAGGTTTTGCTGACATGTGCGTTCTGAACACAGACAAGAAGCTCTTGTAAGCTGTTGTTCCCAGTTTTGCAGATTCTCTCTCACGCGCGCACACACTGACTTCCACGCACACCCACACTGATTCACCAATACTCACACACTTACACACACTGTGAGGAACTTTCTATCATTTGATCTACTTTAACTGCGACTGGCAAAATTATTCATAAACTTTTCATATTTGAGCAATCTCACATTTATGCAGGATCTGATGTATTCATTTGTTTTTACTCCGATGCTCCTTTATAAGACTATTTCATATTAACTATTCTCTATAGTTACAACAAACTGGCAACTGTTAAAAAGCAAATTCAACTTGAATATTTTTGAAAGGGTTTCTGCATAATCACTCCTTATGTATAGAAATAAAACCATAAAAAGCTCAAACTTGATCTTGCCTGTTATGTTAAAGCAGTAGCTAATTTGTATAATATTACACTGACTTCTAACACTGGCAGCTGAAAACTGTATTTATACATTTATGCTGAATGAAAATGAAAATGAAACTGTATGTGTCATTAGGTAGGTCATCCAGATGAGATTATGTAAAATTATTACCATTTTGACCTTGCATTACTTAGTTTTTTAAAAGGTGGAAATGCTGTTTCAATTATTAATAAAACTGATTATTTCTCATGCATATCCTGTAATTAAATGCCAACAAGAGCAGACTATAGAGAAGGAAATGTCCACTAGATTTATTAAATTATTTTCAAATGGAAATGCTTTAGGGTTTTTGGTCATAAGAGTATATAAAAAGAAGCTGTTTGCAGCCTATTTTTTTTTTTCTAACTAAAACTTTGTAAAAGTTGTAAAACAGATTTTTTCTTTTCTCTTACAATGGTCAAAGGGACATTAAAGTATGATTGTTTTTTAATGTAATTTGTTTTGCGAAATAGATTTCTGGCATGCGTGTTACAGAACACCTAAAAATTTTATGATTAGTTCAAAACTGCAGAAAATTCCACAAATATACGTTTGATTAATTGTTTAATTTTTAAACTTTTGTTTAATGAAAACAACTCACATTCAAACAGGATGTAAATCTGCTTTATTCCATGTTTTCAACTTGTCATGTTTGTTTTCAAAGTCCAAAAAGGACAGGAATCTCTCTTGTTATGAAAAAAAGTCTTAGTCATTCAAACCTTATAGCTGATTATCTTCCCTGGGTGATAAAATTGAAATAAACAGGTTTTAAGGATGTTTATGAAAATCAAAGGCATTTCAAATCGTGTGTATCGTATGTATAGCAGAGCATTAGTTTTTATTCTCCTTGAACCCCAGTCGGCCTCAGCAGATTGCCACTCACACTGGGCCTGGTTCTACTGGAGGTTTCTTCCTGTTAAAAGGGAGTTTTTCCTCTCCACTGTCGCTATAAGCATGCTTACTGTGAGGGATTGCCTTCCAGTCAATGAGTCTATGCAATCAACTTGTTTTCCTTAGATAGAAAACTTTGAATCAATTTGACTTGATGATCTGGTTGAATTGTAAAGTGCCTTTAGATGATGTCTTGTGAATTGGCGCTATAGAAATAATTTTAATCAAATTGATTTGAAATTAGCCTTGTATTCAGATACAAAACACACTGCATGTAAGCAAGCCTTAATGTGAACATTGGACAGGTCTTATTTATAATTGTGGGTAAATGTCTTGTTTCTAAATACATCTGTGCATGCACAAATCTTTTTTTACTCTCACATTGTTTCTGATTAAAAACTAGTAGGTCTTCTTCACTATACTGTAATAATAAATCACATCATAAATAAACTACCTGACTGACTTTAATCATCCCAAAGAGAAAGAAAAATAAAATGTTTATTTGTGAATTTTATTAAAGATAAAAACTTGATTTTGCAGATACTCTTCTGGTATATCTGAATATAGAAGTGGCAGAACTTCTTGGATAAACTATAAACTGTATTTCAGATGAAACTGCAGAAGATAGGTAAATTAAATATATATTTTTTTGCTCTAAAGTCTTATTAATGTCTCTCCAACAGCTGCAGGATGGTTACATGAACAATAACAACAGCAGTGTGTCCCAGCCAGCTACTCCAGGCAGCACCCTGCCCGTACCCTCCCCTCTTTCACCCAGTCCTGCCAGCCTGTCTTCCTACCACGGAGATGACAGCGATAGCATCAGTAGTCCACCTTGGCCTCTGAAGACCCCCTCCAGTCCAGTAAGATTTAGAAATCACATTTATTTGTTTGTTTAAATATTGTCTAACTATTAATTTAAAGAGCTTTTAAATCAGAGGTTGGCTTTTAAAGCCTGGTCTTTAAATTTGAGGGGGAGAAAATTGTTGTGAATGAGCTTTGAAATAAACACAGCTTGCACACTGGACGAATTAATCTGAGAAAAAAAGTGTTTAGTTTTGCTAGTTTGTTCAACCAGGGGTCCACTTCACAATGTGTAAATAACAGATGAATTTTTAATGACCCTGACTGGGTGAGTGGGTTGTTTTAGCAGAAGACAGCAGGAGAAAAATAAACTGCAATCTGTACATCGGGTAATACAACATGATGGTGGGTTTTATGCAGTGGCTCACAAAATTATTAAGATGCCTTGAGCTCTTTTGTGTTTTGATAGAGTTTCCTGTTTAAGAGCATAACAGAGTAGAGTTAAGAATGATGAACTAGAAGGAAAAAGACACATCTTTTTTAATAAAAAAAAGAATAATAGAAGTTTTTTCAACCCCCAGAAAGACAAACATTTATAAAAAAAAAAAACACCTTTTGTGATTATAGATCTGATGTTGGATCTGCAAATCTTCAGGGGTATTTCTTTACCAGATGTCAAGAGATGACGGTTTGTACTGAAACTGAAATCTCGATTGCAATGTAAAGTGTAGTTGACAAAAAAGTTGATTGATTGATTGATTGATTGATTGATTGATTGATTGATTGATTGATTGATTGATTGATTGATTGACTGATGTCTAGACCTGGTCTCTCAAATCATTAATTAGATTAATATTTGGACTTTGACTAAGCCAATCCAACAAACAAATATGCTTTGCTTTGCTTTAGACAATGTTAATTAAGCTCTAGCTTTGTGTTTTGAGTAAATATCAGGTAAAAGAAAGCCCTTAGCATGCTGCGGCTACTACCATGTTTTATCATGTGGATACTGAGTCTAGGTGTGGTGTTATTTTTTTTACCATTCATGTAATTGTGCATGTAATGGCATCCATAAAGCTGGTTTTATCCAACCTTGGCTTTTTTGTAAATTGCAATTGAAATTAGTAGCTTTTTTAATTTCTAAGACGGAATTTTTATGCTGTTCTTCCATTAAAGCCAGATTTTTTTTATCAGTTGACCAGCAGACAGTCATCCAGCTGAGCTAAAGATCTGTGCAGCTCTTCTGGACATTTCTTTATAATCAAAGTATCAGTTTTCTCTCCTTTTTATCTATATGAACCCCTGAACTACTTTGTGTGGGTCTATATGAATTAAATAGGATACACTAAAGCCTTTTAGGAAAAGTTTGGATTGTTTTGAATTTATATGATATCCATAAAATCTTATTAAAAAAAAAAACAATTTTTACACTACTGTGTGTGTATCTCTGCAGAAAGCCACTCCTAACTCCTCCATCAGTGGGGAGCGAGTCAGCCGACTCTATGACCTTGGTTCAGAGCCAGAAAGGAGATCTTGGGTGGAGCGCTACCTAACCTTCATGGAGGAACGGGGAACGCCTGTTTCACAGCTCCCTGTTGTGGGAAAGAAGCCGCTGGATCTCTGGAAGCTGTATGTTGCTGTTCGGGATATCGGAGGCCTTGCTATGGTAAACAGCCTCACAGCAGAATTTATGGAATAATATTACAGATTAAGGGAACAGTTTAAACTCAAAATAGCACTTAGTGGCAAATATTTGGCCTTTAAGCATTAAAGTCTTTGTAATCCTCTCATTTGCATGAGTTTTTTTTTATTCTTCCCTCAAGCCAAATTTGCAGGGAATCCAAATAAAACGTCTTTATATACAGAATGTATTTGAAAGCCTGGGGCGTCTATAACAACATGCATTCTTTTTTAAATGCTTCACAAAAGATTTTGAATCTGAAAGAAAAGCTAGAGTGAAGATCAATAAAGCTGAGTTTACCTTGCACTCCATCTCATACCAAATGATGCCAAGTCATTTTCTTCCAAAGCGAAAATGCAGAAAATCTTTAATTTGGCTGCGAGAGTAAATATGTTTTTCTTACTTACTGGAAGAAACTCATCTGGAATAAGAGCATCTAAAGAATTCCAGTATGCTGTGAGATTCATCCTTGGGATGTGATGTTTTCAAATTAATTTTTATTCCTCAAATTAAACCCAACATGTCAAAACTGTGCAACAATGTTAGGATTGTTTTTTTTTATTATTGAAATGAGATCACTGACATCATTGCTTGATTCCCTCAATCTGTCAGGTGAACAAGAACAAGAAGTGGCGCGAGCTGTCCGGCACCCTGAATGTCGGTACATCCAGCAGCTCTGCCAGCACGCTGAAGAAGCAGTACATCCAGTATCTGTTTGCCTACGAGTGTAAAATGGAGAGAGGAGAGGAGCCGCCAACAGACAGCAACAGCGGCGGCAGCTTGACTGAAGGGGACAGCAGGAAGCAGGTCAAGATCCAGCCGCCCTCGCCAGGTGATTCCTGATAACAGAGTGTTGCACTTCTTTTCTTTTTGGTTTTTTAAAGACTCCCTCCCATCTGTCAGCGGCCAGATAACAGGTGCTGTTCATCACACAAGATTTTATCCGTGATCCTCACAGCTGTGTCTGAAATCTGAAGCCAAGCTGCTATGTTTGCAAAGTAAAGGATGGATGGAAATTCTGTTAAAGCAGACCAGATTAAAACAGCATTACATAATAATACAGTTACCCTTATCTGAGAAGGCAAAAGGTTCTAGCACTGCCAGGGCAGAGATACCTGATGTTGACCATTTGGGGTTTTGCACAAGCCATAAAAAGGTCAGCAAAGAAAGATTGATTAAGCCAACTCTACACACAGAGAGGTCTCCATCTCCTTGAAGGTCGGGGTCAGTTTCCCAACACACCTAAAGCTAACGCCTGAACTGATTCACTAGCATGTAACCAAGCTTTTCAGAGTCCTGCTAACGAGTTCATATATGGGTCACATGTGCTGCAGCAGCTAAAGCCTTCAGGACACAAACCCTTAAGTATTAGTGTGCAAATTCAAACGTATCTAAGGCCGTTTCTCAACTTGTGTACTTGTGCGTTCTCATGTGCTTACGTATTTGTGAAACGTCATCAGCCTCAGCCCCAGTACTGCTCCAATTCACAAGACCACAAGACAGAGAACAGACAGTCTCTGTAGTTCTTGTCCCTCCCTCTTTACATGCATTAGAGCAGACTTGCCCGTTCTTGAGATTGACAGCTGTCCCAGCATGCACTGCGGTAGCTGCAGCTTTCAATGGAGCGTTTACAGAGCTCAGCGTATGAAGTTAAAAGTATCCTTTGCTGTTGTTATTCAATAAAAGTACGTTTTAAGATCATTTGAGGCGAGAACATTATACTTTTAAGCGTCACTATATGGTCCATTTACCGATTCAATAAGTAATTCAAAAAACAAAGACGTTCTGTTCAAAAGTACTTCCAGCCGCCCTGTTTAGCAGTCTAAGGTTACTAACTCAACTATAATCTGTTATTTCTACTTACTTTTAGATTTTTTTTTTCATTTAAGGAGTTCCAACCTTTAATTTCTGTAAATATCAACATTTAAACCTTTTAAGGAAAGTTTTTTTATATATATATATATATATATATATATATATATATAAGCTTTAGAATAGAAATCCCTCTGTTTACTTCAGACTGCTCCTGACACCCTACCAGACTAAATATAGACTGACAGTTGTGTGATGTCACTGAGGGAGCCTGGCCGGAGGGCTGGGGTCTGAGTGTGTTTGTGTGAAGCTGGTGGCGGGGAGGGTGGAGTGATTAATGAAGGCTGGAAAGCAGAATGTAAACAAACTCGACCTCTACGTCACCTCTCATTCACAAAAGCAGCTCAGCTGACTGATTTTCCTTCTTTTTTTTTTTTT